AATCGCTTAAAAATATCACTTTTAATTACAAAATTATCAATTTCCCAACATATATATGTTAGGTATGATATTATACGCAATATAAACTTCAATTTAAGGTAAAATTCAATCACAAACGCTTATTTTATTTTATTCATGATAAAACTAAATTGCCTTTATTCTTTAATTAAATGGCTTTATCGATAAACTTTGAGTTTGAATAAAATGATTTCAAATTCTCGCATGCAAATAACTTTGCTTTCTTTTTTATTTAAAAAAATTCAATATAATAAAAAAGGGAATCAATATTAAAAAGATACACTGAAATTATATATGCTGTCTTGTTTAGTTGTTTCATATACGCAAAGGCCGTCGGGTTTTAAAGCAATTATAAAATCAATATTTAAAACAAACTTACCTTCGTTAACGTCGGCTCCCTTCTTTTAGCCGATTCTTTCGCCATTTCTTTCTTGGAATTTACAAATTCTTGCAAAAATGAAATATATTTGCAAGAAATTTATCAATCATCAAATAAAGAAATGTTTGCTATTTGCTGTCGTCATGCAGTCGTTATAATGCAAACTTTAAATTGGACCAATCACACTGTTCGCTATTCATGACAGTCCGTCATATCTTTGAGATCAGTGAGGATGGCCACCCACGGTTGGTGACCCACGCCCGCGATATTTGATGAACTTTAGACTTCGCTAATGCTTCCGTTTTCCCGGGTGTAAATAGCCGGGGGGAATTAGTACCCTCGCACGGCGCTTCGCGCCGTCGGCTCGGGGATAAAATGTCCAGAAATCTCCATATTTACTAGCTGGGGCACCTGTGCCCCGGGCGAGTATAGGTTTCGGCATCATGGATCGGCAATCTCCAATCTCCAATCGTCGATAGCCACAAAATAGAATATTAATGAGCTGCTTGATACTTTTCTAAATGGCGGGCACTTTCGCGGAGTGGACAAAATGTTTTAAACAATTTTGTGAAAATTTTGAACCAGTTGTACCTGTTTTCTATGGATTTTGGATAGTGTCTAACTCTGGACATTCTTGGTAGTTTATTTAATGCGTTTTTCTTGGTGCACGGCTCTGAAAATCCGAAATTTGTATCGTGGAATTCCCGAGCCCGATCATAAATATACTGAACCTGAATATAAACGAGCCAAAGACAATTTCAAGGTAAAAGGTTATAACTTAAACTGCACAACGTAGTTTTAATAAATAACTACTTTCTGAGAAGCATATTGGTGTCATATCGATACGAATTTTATGGAACAACCGCCTGTGTAAACTGCAGTGTACTCAGTGTGAAATGGGCTATTCCATTTAATATCCGTACCCCCCCTGTCGAGGATACATGTTTTTCATTGTCATACCCCTGAAGAATTCCAAGCTCAAAACTGTTTACCCCTGAAGAATTCCAAAATTCCAAGCTCAAAACTCTTTACCCCTGAAGAATTCCAAGCTCAAAACCTTTTACCCCTGAAGAATTCCAAAATTCCAAGCTCAAAACCCTTTACCCCTGAGGAATTCCAAGCTCAAAACCTTTTACCCCTGAAGAATTCCAAGCTCAAAACCCTTCACCCCTAAAGAATTCCAGGCTCAAAACCCTTTACCCCTGAAGAATTTCAAGCTCAAAACCTTTTACCCCTGAAGAATTCCAAGCTCAAAACCCTTCACCCCTGAAGAATTCCAAGCTCTGAAAAATTTCAATCTCAAACCTCTTTACCCCTGAAGAATTCCAAGCTCAAAACCCTTTACCCCTAAAGAATTCCAAGCTCAAAACCATTTACCCCTGAAGAATTCCAAACTCAAAACACTTTACCCCTGAAGAATTCCAAGCTCAAAACACTTTAGCCCTGAAGAATTCCAAGCTCAAAACCCTTTACCCCTGAAGAATTCCAGGGATCCTCGACAGGGGGGGTACGGATATTAAATGGAATAGCCCAATATGATATTGTATTTGTATAAATCCCTATTACAGTAATGGCGCAATAGCCAATAAGGATAAAAATACCACCGTTCGATTCAGCGTAAGAAATTGTACTTACGGATGCCAAATATATCACTAAACAACAGTAGTCTAACGATTTATGGAATATGGACTTTGAAAATCAAGCGAAATTTTTATTGTTGACAAATTACTCGCCGTTTGTCCGACCTTGTATTTGACCTTGTATTTGTAATGCCTAATAAATAAGTAATGGTGGATAAAAATACCACCGTTCGATTCAACGTAAGAAATGGTACTTATACACGAATGAGAAATTGTACCTACGGGTGTCAAATGTATTACTAAACAACTGACAACAGTATTCTAGCGATTTATGGCCTTTGTCTTTGAAAGCCAAGCGAAATTGTATTATTTGTTGATAAATCGCTCAAACTATATAAAATGCAATATGTTTGATCCTTGATAACTTTGTTTGGTATCGTTGGTTTTCTCTTTTTCGGCCGTATACCAGTGGATTCGTCTCACTTCTCTCTTCATTTTGATAATATTTTGATCCCAAAAGCCCATAAATATTTTAGTTTGGACGTTTTAAACTGGCGGCCAACAGAAGAATGTAGCGTACTACAAAATATAACTTTTAATACTTGTGGGCCATAAACGCCGGCAGTTTTATTTGCACTTGTAGGGTACCGCATTTTAGTGTGTTAAGCTTTCGCACTCGTATTCTACTTTTCCGCTTAGCTCGGGGTCAGGCTTAGATCTTAACAGACCTTTCCCCTTTTCACTGAAATTTTGATCTAGATTAGCCTGGACAAAAATTTCATCACAGCTTGGAAGAGCATTGCAGAATAAGTAATATTCCGAAGTTTCGTTGAAAAAAGTTGTAAAATGCGGATAATATAGCCTTGCGAAGCTTGCCGTTTTTCAGTCATTTTGCAGTACAAACAGAAAATTGATAAGTCAACATAGGAGTAATAGTGTCGGTTGCCAGTGCCGCAAAAGCAACCCCGTACCATGGCAAAAAATTCCTAATAGTAATAAAAACTTTCATAAAACTAACAGTGGAAGTCAACCACAAATAACATACAATAGATATGAATGTCTAATTGATGAGGACGAAATTGCTGAAGTTGTTCAGCCGGAACAATCGGCACAATGCCCAGCGGAGCACACAGGCCATCCTACTGGTAATGAATGTCTAATTGTTGAGGGTGAAACTGATGAAATTGTTCAGCCGGAACAATCATCACAATGCCCACCTGAGCAAACGAACCATCCCACTGGTAATGTTTATCAAAATCCTAATCGTCCTGGAGACCAAAGTGCAAGACCGTGTGTTGTCTTAATCGGCGATTCTATCATTAAAAACATCATTCCACAGAAGCTGTCGCAGAAAAGAGTGCATAAATTTACATACCCAGGTAAATCAGCGGACGAATTCAATAGAGTTTGAAATACGCATATATAGATCAAAACCTAGCGCCCTCTCATGTTATATTACACTGTGGAACAAACAATCTTCCAACAGACGACCCAAATGTTTGCATCAAAAAACTTGAAGATCTGTGCTCGAGAGTGCAAGGCAAATTTCCTAATGCACAAATCGGAGTGTCAACTATCACATGTAGAAAAGACCTTCAATTAGCAAATAAAATTGAAGACGTCAATATCAAGATCAAAGACATGTGTTCTCGTAACGGTTATAATATTATACTTCATAATAATATAAATGAGACATGCCTGAACAATAGTAAGCTGCATCTAAACGCAAAGGGAACCGCTTTACTTGCAGTAGGATTTATTAAGTTCCTACGTGGACGGCAGTTTTCTCCACAACAACAACACAACTATTCTAAAAATTTTCACTTAGAAGAAACACTTCACCAAATAGAGAAAACTCTGAAATATCTAACGACACAAACTCGATAGACTAAAGTCACTCAACAATGAATAGTAACCCAAATTTAAGTAGTAATAATAATAATACGATAAATTTCGATAGCGAGTCAATTTCAACAAATTCAACTTTATTTCTGCCTGATTTTAACATATCGAATTTAAAGGGCCTGAAGATTGCAAATTTAAACATTAATAGTCTTTTAAAACATATCGATGAGATTCGTATCTTGCTGTCTGATAACCCTTTTGACATTTTGGCCATTAATGAGACTAAAATCGACTCTTTAATTTTGGTGGTGTGGCTCTATATATAAAAAATAATATACCATACACTGAGAGAAAAGATTTAGTCCCTGATAATTTAGAAATGACATGTGTGGAGATTACTAGGCAACATAGTAAGCCTCTTCTAATTGCTACCTGGTATCGACCACCTAATTCAGAGCTCGACATATTTTCCAACTTTGAATTGTTTCTTTTTAAGTGCGATATGGAAAATAAGGAATTAATCTTAGTTGGGGATCTAAACTGTGACGTTAACAAACTAGCTCCTGATTCACAAACTCACAAACTGCAAACTTTATGCTCTTTATATCAATTAACTCAAGTCATTAATAAACCTACGAGAATTACGGAGACAACATCCACACTGATAGACTTGATACTTACAAATAAACCTGAATATATTTCGACTGGTGGTGTTTTACACCTTGGTATATCCGATCATAGCTTAGTCTATGCTGTAAGAAAACTTGAATTACCTAAATCTAGACCAACTATAAAAGAAGTCCGCGATTTCAAACACTTTTCTGAATCGCAATTCCGCGCTGATTTACTGCAGGTACCCTGGGATACAATTTGCTACGATGATGCTAATACATGCTGGATTCTATGGAAATCAATTTTTTACGAAATTTTAAATAAGCATGCACCTGTACGCCAAAGAAGAACTAAGGCTAACTCGGTCCCATGGATTACACCTGCTATTAAACAACTAATGAGGAATAGAGATTACCATGATAAAAAGAAAGCCATAAGATTTAAATCATCAATTCACTGGGATAAATACAAATCCTTACGGAACAGAGTAAATAAGCAAATGCGCAAAAGCAAAATTGATTTTTATCACAAAGAGATAGGGGACTGTACATATTCAAATGATTTCAAAAAAATTTGGTCCCTTATAAATTCCCTTACTGGAAGGAATAACAAATCTTCCAGTATTACAGAAATATCTGTGAATGACAACAGCATTACCGAGGCTACACGGGTGTATCAAACTTTAGTATCATCTTTAGTATCATCTTTTGTGCTTAATAACTTTCGAAATACTATTTCTAGTTAAACGCTTTTAGGCTTACTTCAAAGCCTGTTCCTTTCTCTTTCAAACAAACTATTATCCTTGTCTCCAATGCTAGTAATAATTGCACAGGAAAAGATTTAGTAAAACCTATCATTTTTAGTTGCTGTTTATAATTATGCAAGTTTACAATGTTATTGTTTAGTCGGTTTAAATGTTAGAATTTTCTTCTTTAAACTTTAATGTTGTCGTCACTACATCTGTAAAACCACGTAAGAACAAATTAAAAGTATTTTAAAAGAGACCAG